TGTGTAAGTACCACGGTATTTTATACATCGAAGACTTTATAACTTGTGTACAAAACATATTGGTAACTTTGAAGGGTGTAGTTGTTGAAGCATAGTACCTGATACGTTCTATGTAAATAGCACGGTAAGTTATGCAACACAGGCCTGATAACTTGCATACGAATATCATGGTAACTTTGTCCTGAGTAGAAATCATGTGATAGACGTGAAGAAGTGGCAGTTTTCTCGGGGGTGAGCGCCCGAGATGTGCGGGAGAAGCAGGTTTCTCGGGCGAGCCTGCGGGGTCATTTGGGAGGAGGCGAGGTCAAAGAAGGAGAGATCGTATGATACTTTAAAATGAAAAAAATAAAGGTGTGGCAGTTTTGCTTATATGCCACACGTGTGCCAAATATCACAGTTCATAATTTATTTATAAACTACTCCCTCCGTTCCTAAATATTTGTCTTTCTAGAGTTTTCAACAAGTGACTACATACGAAGCAAATTGAGTGAATCTACACTCTAAAATATGTCTACATACATCCGTATGTGGTAGTCCATTTGAAATATCTAAAAAGATAAATATTTAGGAACGGAGGGAGTAAATTAATCAATCGAAAAATTGCTAATTCACCCAACAAGGCTTTGGCCGTGCAGACCGGGTTAACAGAGTTGTTGCGATTCTATCGAGGTCCCATCTGCGTGGAGTCTGACTGTGCAAGGTTATCTTCTCGCTCGATCCCAAGAGGCAGGATAATTCAGGCCTACACCAGTCATGGCTGACGTGGAAGACCTGCTGGGCAATTTCCAGGAGGTCTCCCATTGAGGCGATCAGAGGAGGCAGGATTGCGCTGGCCCATGAGTTAAACGGGGATTTTGCGCTGATTACCGATATTGCCCTGATCTAAAGCCTCTTCTTCCTCTTATTTCTTAAACATAAACAATCGGGTGCCAGTTCTAATTATGGACTGCTTCCTTTCTCTAGTCTCTAAAAAATCTATGAAAATAAATAAAGTTACAGATGTTTTTTCAATCAGAAAAAAGAGAGAGAACAGAGAAGGAAAAGCGAGACCTGTCCGGAACGAAAAGGCGATGCGGCAAAGCGAATATCCCGGAGGATAAACCCGGGAGCCCGAGCGGCACCCTGGAATATTCCCGCTCCGGCATCACATTCAACTCCGGCGTCTACCCGTCCGTCCATATAAACTCCTTTCCCCGTCCGTTGCAACTCGCCAGCCACCCAGCCACCCAGCCAGCCATTGAGCCCCTCTCCTCTCCTCTCCTCGCCGAATCCAGCCCGGCGTTCGCTGTCCGACATCCCCACCAATTCGGCGCGCCGCACGTGCGTACGTATAACACATCGGTCGCCCGATCAATGGCTCTGCTCAAGGCCGCGCGCGTCGCCGACGTCCCCACCCTCGACGTCGTCGTGCCGGACCACCTCGCCGCCGCCGCCGCGCGGGTCCTCGGTACGTGCCGTTTCATTCGCCGTCCTCGCGTCTCTACTTTACGGTTGGTCATCAATCGGCCGGTAATAACGCGCGCGCGTGCGACCGCAGACGCGGAGGCGGCGTCGATGGTGAAGAAGCAGCGGGGCGCGGGCCGGCGGTTCGCGGTGATCGGGCACCGCGGCAAGGGGATGAACGCGCTGGCGTCGCCGGACCGGCGGATGCAGGAGGTGAAGGAGAACTCGGTCCGGTCGTTCAACGAGGCGGCGCGCTTCGCCGTCGACTACGTCGAGTTCGACGTCCAGGTATAATTATCGATCGATCCCGTCTGCTCTGCTCCAATCGAATCCCTCTCACCTCCCCTGCGTGCTACGTTAATTAATTTGTTAGGTCGCGCGGGTTCCGAGGAAAGGAACGGGTGTATGGGATCGGTCTACGTGGGTCCCGGGCCTCCGGGAACTGGTGTAGCTCTCCTCGGTGTAGTGTGTCCGGTCTAGGGGATCTTTGTTGATGGGGACGTGGCCGTCCGGAGCGGCTCGAGCACGTTTGCCGTGTCGCCGAAGGGGAAAGGGAGAGAGGAAGGTCGCCGCGTAGCGGAGCGACCCCACGTGCGTCGCGGTGGCCTCCCATGTGGAGAAGTGGGGCGGCTCATCGAGCTCTCCAGATCTGACCAGCTCAGGCTGGTCACAGTGGGGAGGAACTTAGGAGTAACATCACACACTTCAATACAACTTGGCTTATGTGGCACATATTTAATGAAGAGAGAGGTGCTTGTGGTAACTAGCTAAGTTACCGGAACATCACACACTCCAAGAAACAATGAGTCTATAACCTAATAAATACATTGTTGCATCACACACTTCAATACATTGGGGAGGAACTTAGGAGTAACATCACACACTTCAATACAACTTGGCTTATGTGGCACATATTTAATGAAGAGAGAGGTGCTTGTGGTAACTAGCTAAGTTACCGGAACATCACACACTCCAAGAAACAATGAGTCTATAACCTAATAAATACATTGTTGCATGACACTACATAGATGTTCCTACCCACTATGGAGGTAGTAACATAGTCTAGGGAAGTGTGTAAGTTACTAGCTTATGTTCTTGCCCATTGTGACCAGCCTCACCAGCACGAAATAATATACTCCCTCCGTCCGGGTGTATAAGTCATTCGCGTAGTTCTAGGTCATCGATTTAAGGAATTAAATATGTGTTATATGTCATGAAAAGTATACCACTAGATTTCCACACGGATGTAGTTTTTAAATATATATTTTTGTCACATATAATACATATTTAGATAGTTAAATTATCGACCTAGAACTACGCGAATGACTTATACACCGGGACGGAGGTAGTACTACTGTAACTTGTACTAATAACACAGTTTAAAACCACAATAATTTTGCTAAAGCATCTAGATGTCCTCTAAGAGTAACTCCAATAGCTTCCGTTTCCAAAAAACACTTCCATTTACGGAAAGTTATGGTAAAAAAAGCCTCTGCAATTTTTTTACAGGATTTCATAGAAACACCTCCTCCGTCCTTTAAGTTTGCGGGAAGATGATCTTCTCATATAATTATGGCGGTGGATAATAGGGTCATATTTTATGAGCAGAAGTTTTACGGGAACGGTAAAATGCACTCCCTCCTGTTATGGGACTGAGGGAGTAGGTGTTAGAAAACTTTTCCTAGATTATAGGGTCATCCTGGAAGAAGATTTGTACAGGAGCTCTTGGAGTTGCTCTAAGTATTGCATATCCTATATCAATGATTTTTCGCGAAGATTTATGAGGATATTCTTTTTCTTTTTATGTTTGATCGAGTCACTTAATGTGTAATAACTAGGGTAAATGTAGATCTGTCCTAGACAGACCCAAAGTGCAATATTTGAATTAGATGTGGTACAGTTATAGATGTAATTTGGCAGATTAAAGGTCTGGTCCTGGATTGGTTTGTTTGAAATGTCATTATACTCTTGATGTACCCGATGTTGGTAAGATATTACAGTGGACTGTGACGAGGCTGCATCAACGATCGTACAACTTTTGTCGTACCTGAAGCAGCACTCATGCAATACACTAGCTAGTTGTTCGTTTGTCCCTGTTGCACTAGTGCGATCTAGTACTTCTGCTAACGCCAAACCCCACCTCCACCTTGTACTTATCAAGATCGTATATCTTGCGTGTCGCATATATCTATCGATTCAGTCCATCGTTTTTTTTCTTCTTACGGTGCTATTGCGCAAAACGCCAAGTAAATGTTTCCATTTCTAATTTGCTTCAAAGCTAAATTTGTTCAAAGTGTTAAAAGAAGATACTGATTTTTTTCACTTCTCTCCCTTCTCTCTTTGTCTCCTAAATAATTCAGTGTGCAAAGATGTTGAGAAGAGAACCATGAATATCGATTTTGTAGGTCACCAAGGACGTCTGCCCAGTCATCTTCCATGACAACTTCATCATTACTGAAGAACATGTAAGTTCATATGCGCCCTCTTGCTCTGTATGCGTATCACTTTCCAACATTTCCTTTTCCCCGGTGGGTGATTGTAGGGGCTGTTTGGATGGGGCCCATCAATTATTTGGCTAACGATTTTGCCGTGTGGGCTCGCCCAGATGTTGGTAATAAAACTGAATAGCTGGCCAAAAAGTTGGCTTACACCCGAAATTTAGGCAGCCATCCAAAATTTTGGTAGGGTAGTTGTTGGTTGCTATCCAAACAGCCATGTAGAAACCACCACAAAAAGCACATGCCAAAACATGCTGCCAACCTTGATATTTTCCTGTTTCCATATCACTTGTGTAAGCAACCAACCTAACTCACCAGGACTATCTGTTTTCAGGGCAAAATTTCAGAGAAGCGTGTCACTGATCTTCAGTTGGAAGATTTCCTCCAGTATGGCCCACAAAACAAGCAAGGCAAGGTATGGAGAAAGTGCAAAACACCAGTGTGCTAATTTGGTCATTAGTAGTAGTTACATAAAGTTTGACACAATGCATCTGATTATTCATTGCTTATTGCTAAATTCAGAATGGGAAGCCTTTGCTGCGGAAAATGAAGGACGGTCGGGTGTTGAATTGGAACGTCCAGTCAGATGATCCTCTTTGCACCCTTCAAGAAGCATTCGAGAAGGTCAATCCAAGATTGGGCTTCAATGTCGAGCTGAAATTCGATGACAATCTTGTGTACCAAGATGAGGAGCTTACTCACATCCTCCAGGCCATCCTCAAGGCATGTACTATTACTGCAGTACATGAGTCACTTTTGGTTGGTTACAGCTTGATACCTGTTGTTCTAACACATCAGATTTTCAACTTGTGAACAGGTGGTCTTCGAGTGTGCCAAGGATAGGCCCATCATTTTTTCTAGCTTCCAGCCCGATGCTGCGCAGCTCATGCGAAAACTGCAGAGCACATACCCTGTAAGTGCAATATTATTACCGGACAGATTGCAAGCACATGGAACTTATATCCATTCCACACCATGAGCGTCACTGATTGCCATCGTTACGATGTTTGTCAGGTGTACTTCTTAACGAACGGAGGGACGGAAATCTACGCCGACGTGAGGAGGAACTCGTTGGAAGAGGCGGTCAAGCTGTGCCTTGCCAGCGGCATGCAAGGGATCGTGTCCGAGGCCCGCGCCGTCTTCAGGTTCCCGACCGCTATACCCAAGATCAAGGAGGCTGACCTCTCCCTACTAACTTACGGCACTCTCAAGTAAGTTCTCTAGTTCTTCATCAACTTCTTAGAACGACGGAGTAAAAGGTTTCTGACGCCGTTGTGCAAATGTGCAGTAACGTGCCGGAGGCGGTGTACATGCAGCACCTGATGGGGGTGAACGGGGTCATCGTCGACCTCGTGCCGGAGATCACTGGGGCTGTCTCTGATCTCATCGCCCTCCCGGAGACCGATACAGAGATCAATGATCTGAGCGGCAAGGTGGTGAAAGATGCCGCATCGACGCCGAATTTCACACAGCGGGAGATCTCGTTCCTGCTGAGGCTGATGCCAGAGCTTGTGCAATAGCACAGATTGCACACCATTAACTCATGGCTTTGGATGTAACTGATTGATTGGCATGCAGGACAGGAGGAGCCCCTTGTGGAGGAAAGCACAGGTTTACATACTGGGTTGGTGTGATGTCCTTCGGTGAGCCCTGGTACTGGGAGAGTTGGGGATTGATATGATATGTACATGTTGTAGTGTGGGTGGCGAAATTTTTGGATATACATGTTGTAGTGAATGTCACCGTCACAATGGACCGTGTTACTAAACTAATACATGATCCTGGGTCTGGTATCCAGCATTTTCGATCAACATTCGTCAATGTGTTTGCTACAATATTTTTGGAAATTAAGAAAATCCCCAGGTTTTCACATATTTGCCTCGAGAAATTGGAAACCAAGAAATTTTCAGAAAAAGATGTGATAAAGTATTAAAGGCACAGAACCATCACTTTCATGTCACAACTTATGGAAAACCATCACTTTACAAAACATGACACTTTGCACCGAATCGAAGAAATTGATGTGGCAAAAAAACACTGAACCAATTTGTGAGCGTGTTTTGACGTGGCCGATCACTTGCGGGCCGACAACGGTGATGGCGCGGCGCTAACGGGCGTTAACGGCCGTACCGACCAAGCCAGTCAGCCTGTTCAAAGGAAACAGTGCCAGTCCCACTCGCTCCCTTTGTGCTAAGCCGGTCGGCCCGTTCCCCTAAAGGAAACAGTGCTATTCACACTCTCTCCTCTCGTTCCCTCTACGTTGCCGCCGCAATGCTTTCTTGGGCAGACTGGTCCACTTTGCCGGGGAGGTAATGCCCTTCCATTTGTCTGATAGCCTAGGGTTAGGGATTTCAGATTTTTGTTTTGGTATGAAATGGACCGGATCCGGTGTATTTGACCACTACCAATTCCTTTTGAATTCAATCCAGCCCCTCCTAACCGTAGACGACTCGGACTTTGAAGGCAATGACAGAGAAGGGCCCACTGCTACCACCGAAAAATAGCCAAGAAATTCGTAGCATTCCAAGGTGGCATAGCTGGAAGGAGGTTTTATTGATGTGGTGAGGATTTAAGTTGCAATCCCTATCATGCTTTTCTTGTTTGAAATCCCATGTAAACTGCTCTGTTTCAACAGTGTTAATACATGTCCTACAGTTTTCATAATTTCCGTACTTGTACAAATAGATTATGGTCAGTAAGTCGGTAAGAATTTTCTGTGCATTATATCTATATAGTATTCATAATTTCTGTACTTTTAGAACAAGATTAAGTTACTCAATGCAAGCCAAGTTTTTCTCTGAATGTCTGCATTGTAGTGGTTAATGATCAAATTGGTTTGGGAAAAGGGCTTAGACATAGATATAGACACCCTTAATCTGCTTATTTCAAATGTTTAAATTTTTTTTTTCTTATCTAAGAAACTATGTAGTTTGGATTATGGTTAAGTAACTCTGGTGCACCTATGTAGCTGCTTATGGTTAAGTTACTTATTTTTCTTACAGATTGGCAATTGTTGTTATGTTCAATGGGTTGATATGGAGTATCCTAAAGCTAGTAAAAAAAAGCTCTTCAAAAGCTTTGGGCAAGACATGAAGATTGTTGTGCTGCTAGAACCAAGGAAGGGGTTGATCATGCACAGGTAGTGATTAAGCTTGAAGAGGAGGTTAACACTGCTACCCTGTAGTACAAGAACCTTGTTGCTGATGTTAACAAAATGCTCAAGCAACAAGTGCAAAGGACCTATCAAGAAAATTTCAAGAAAATAATGGCAAAAGACAATGAAGGCTTGGAGAAGCAGCTGGACCAGAAGCAGTATGTCATAGAGGATATGAAGGCCATTCAGAAAGCCCAAGGAGAACTGATCAAGAACCTGAGGACAGAGTTGCATGAGCTGGAGAAGGATAGGGATATCAATGGACTCAAGAAGGAGATGTATGTGCTGAAGACTGAACTTCAAGACCACAAGGAGAATAAGAAACAACTAATGAAGGACAAGATTGAGGTGATGCAGGAGAGGATGGGCTGAAGATGGAGAAGAAGAAGTTAGAGATAGCCATTTATGAGCTGACTAAAGTTGGAGAAATTCACAAGCGCAAGCTGAAGAAGATCAAGGGAATTTGTGATGAAGATTCTGTCATTGAGCTTAGTGGTCGAGACTTAGTCTAATCTAGTGATGATGTATATAGTATGCTACCTATCTATCTACTTTTATTTTTATTGTTGTAAGCACTATGACACCTATCTATTTGCAAGAATTGTTGTAAGCACTATGATACCTATCTAAATTGCTGGTGTTGCAATGGTATGAACTATGTATGAGGTTTATTTTGGGTCCTATCTATTGTTTTATGCACTATGCTACCTATCTAGATTGTTTACGTGTATTATTTATGGAGTCCACTTTGAAGGAAATATGCCCTAAAGGCAATAATAAAGTTGTTATTTATATTTCCTTATATCATGATAAATGTATATTATTCATGCTAGAATTGTATTAACCGGAAACTTGATACATGTGTGAATACATAGACAAAACAGAGTGCCCCTAGTATGCCTCTACTTGACTAGCTCGTTAATCAAAGATGGTTAAGTTTCCTAACCATAGACATGTGTTGTCATTTGATGAACATGATCACATCATTAGGAGAATGATGTGATGGACAAGACCCATCCGTTAGCTTAGCATAATGATCGTTAAGTTTTATTGCTATTGCTTTCTTCATGACTTATACATATTCCTTTGACTATGAGATTATGAAAATCCCGAATACTGGAGGAACATCTTGTGTGCTATCAAACGTCACAACACAACTGGGTGATTATAAACATCCTCTACAGGTGTCTCCGAAGGTGTTTGTTGGGCTGGCATAGATCGAGATTAGGATTTGTCACTCCAAGTATCGGAGAGGTATCTCTAGGCCCTCTTGGTAATGCACATCATGATAAGCCTTGCAAGCAATGTGACTAATGAGTTAGTTGCAGGATGATGCATTACAAAATGAGTAAAGAGACTTGCCGGTAACGAGATTGAACTAGGTATAAGGATACCGACGATCGAATCTCGGGCAAGTAACATGCTACCTCTTGAGCTTGCGTTGGATTTCCTCGAAGAGGAAAGGATGATGCAACAGAGTAGTGTAAGTATTTCCCTCAGTTTTTGAGAATCAAGGTATCAATCCAGTAGGAGGCCATGCTCAAGTCCCTCGTACCTGCACAAAACAATAGCTACTCGCAACCAATGCGATTAGGGGTTGTCAATCCCTTCACGGTCACTTACGAGAGTGAGATCTGATAGATATAATATTTTTGGTATTTTTGGTATAGAGATGCAAAGTGAAAAGTAAAAGGCAAAGTAAAAAGCAAAGCAAGATTAAAATGATGGAGATTGATATGATGAGAATAGACCCGGGGGCCATAGGTTTCACTAGTGGCTTCTCTCAAGAGCATAAGTATTCTACGGTGGGTGAACAAATTACTGTTGACCAATTGACAGAATTGAGCATAGTTATAAGAATACCTAGGCATGATCATGTATATAGGCATCACGTCCGTGACAAGTAGACCGAAACGATTCTGCATCTACTACTATTACTCCACTCATCGACCGCTATCCAGCATGCATCTAGAGTATTAAGTTAAAACAGAGTAACACTTTAAGCAAGATGACATGATGTAGAGAGATAAATTCATGCAATATGAAATAAACCCCATCTTGTTATCCTCGATGGCAACGATGCAATACGTGCCTTGCTGCCCCTTTTGTCACTGGGAAAGGACACCGCAAGATCGAACCCAAAGCTAAGCACTTCTCCCATGGCAAGAAAAACCAATCTAGTAGGCCAAACCAAACTGATAATTCGAAGAGACTTGCAAAGATAACTAATCATACATAAAAGAATTCAAAGAAGATTCAATTATTATTCATAGATAGACTTGATCATAAACCCACAATTCATCGGTCTCAACAAACACACCGCAAAAAAGAAGAAGATTACATCGAATAGATCTCCACAAGAGAGGGGGAGAACTTTGTATTGAGATCCAAAAAGAGAGAAGAAGCCATCTAGCTAATAACTATGGACCCGAAGGTCTGAGGTAAACTACTCACACTTCATCGGAGAGGCTATGATGATGTAGAAGCCCTCTGTGATGACGGCCCTCTCCGGCGGAGCTCCAGAACAGGCCCCAAGATGGGATCTCGTGGATACAAAAAGTTGCGGCGGTGGAATTAGGTTTTTGGCTCCGTATCTGTCCGTTTGGGGGTACGTAGGTATATATAGGAGGAAGAAGTACGTCAGTGGAGCTTCGGTGGGCCCACGATGGTGGGGGGCGTGCCTCCGGTTAATAGGTTAGTCCCAAAAATAATATAAAAGTGGAAAATAAAGCCCAATATAGTCCAAAATAGTAGATAATATAGCATGGAGCAATCAAAAATTATAGATACGTTGGAGACGTATCAGGCATCCCCAAGCTTAATTCCTGCTCGTCCTCGAGTAGGTAAATAATAAAAAGAGAATTTTTGATGCGGAGTGCTACTTGGCATAATTTCAATGCAAATCTTCTTAATTGTGGTATGAATATTCAGATTAGGAAGATTCAAGACAAAAGTTCATATTGACATAGAGAATAATAATACTTCAAGCAAACCAACAAAGCAATTATGTTTTCTTAAAGTAACATGGCCAAATAAAGTTCATCCCTACAAAATCATATAGTTTAGCCATGCTCCATTTTCGTCACACAAGAATGCTCTCATCATGCACAACCCCGATGACAAGCCAAGCAATTGTTTCATACCTTAATAATTTTGAACTCATAAACTTTCACGCAATACATGAGCGTGAGCCATGGATATAGCACTATGGGTGGAATAGAATATAATGATGGGGGTTATGTGGAGAAGACAAAAAGGAGAAAGTCTCACATCAACAAGGCTAATCAATGGGATATGGAGATGCCCATCGATTGATGTTAATGCAAGGAGTAGGGATTGCCATGTAACGGATGCACTAGAGCTATA